AAATTAGCTGTTGTCATAAATTAAAAAAAAAAAATTATAGTGCTGCACCCTCTGTTGGTAATCCTTGTAACTTTAATGCTATTGCACATCATAGAACAGAACCAACTTGTTTAATTGAAACAGCTGTTAAGATTCATTAATTCCATTTAAATATGAGTACTCATAAGGTTAACATGGGAAACTCCAGAGCCACTGGGGCAGAGCCCGAGAGTCCGATCAGAATAAAAACGACTTAGTTTTCCTATTTAATGCCAAAAGAATCAGTGTACCAAATTTCAGCCTCCTAGGAAAATGGGAAGTGGGAGAATTAGTGATGAGTGAGTGAGTGAGTGAGTGAGTGAGTCAGTCAGTGAGGGCTTTGCCATTTATATATATAGATATGTCTCCTTAAATATATCACATTTATTCCCTATTTAAATAGAATTAGTTTAACAAGTACTTAGGTTTGCTGCAACAGGGAGGGTAAAAAAGTGTTTTTTAATGTAAAATGTTAATAGGTACAGTACTGTAGTTTAGTAAGAAATTAATATTTTTTCCAAATTTGATCAAAATCCTACTAATATTATAAATGAGAAAGTTTGGATGTATGGATGTATGTATGGATGTATGTTTGTGACAAGTGAACGCATTAACCACTGGACGGATTTTGCTGAAATTTGGCATGATGATAGCTCACATTCCCGATTGACATATAGGCATATTCTTATCTCAAAAATCCTTTCGGGCTCCGCCCCAGTGGCTCTATAGTTCCCCATGTTAACCTTATGAGTATTCATATTAAAAGGGAATTAAATAATTTAGTCAGCTGTTTCATCTAAAAAGTTGATTCTATGATATGCAAAAGCATTAAAAACTTACAAGGATTACCAACAGGGTGCAGCACTATTATTTTTTTTATCTATGACAACAGCTAATTTGCAACCAAAAGGTGAGTGAGCGTAGCGAACGAACTTCATCCTGGAGGCGAGTTAGCGTAGCGAACGAGCTAACCTGAAGCTGAAGGCAAGTGAGCGTAGCGAACGAGCTCCAACCTAAAGGTGAGTGAGCGTAGCGAACAAACTTCAACCAGTACGTGATTGAGCCATGCGAACGAGCTCACTTATGAAGTAAAACGGGGCAAAGCCCGCGGGTACAGCTAGTATGTTCATAAATAAAAATAAGCAAACTACAACAGTTGACTTATTCTCCATAAGAATAACATAAGAATTTTAAAATTATAATTTTTTTGAATTTTCTCCGTAACCCTTAGGCGTATAAAAACGCTTCAATATACTAAATTATTTGTTTCTTTAAGCTCTACATAATGGTTTGGAAAGTAATTGTGAAATTTTGTGTTTTTAGGGTCAAAAATGGGAAAAACCTATTTTTACCCCATAAAACCGCCCATAAACCCCCGTTCCCATAGTCCAATCATGTTGGTTCGCGAACTCATTCAAGTTTATCCTGCTTGACACCTTTAAACCAAATTTCATCAAAATCTGACAAAAATTACTCAAGTCATCGTTCACGGACACATATATATATATATAAATCTACAAATTTTAAAATTTTTATTTTACTTCCCTACAGGGAAATTCGCTAAAAGGGAATAGATGTAACACAGTCTCGGGAATGGAGTCTCGGCCATAGGATATTGATGGTATTCTTGGCCCATACCAGAATCAAGTGCAAATCACTGTCTTTCTCCCGTTCAACAAAATTCACATTCAATTCCAGTTCTCCAGGTCGGAGGGCTGTTTAAAAATGAGTATAGTACATGTCTCTCACTTTTCCTCAATAGAAGTAAATCAGTAATAAACATGTTGTGGCGTAGTCATCTAAATACAGGTCTGCCTAGTTAGATGGATTTTGAAATCAATCCTAATTATTGTCAAAACGACAAATTGCAACTGTAGTAATGAGCTGACATGTTAAGTATCAAATTAAATACTATCACTAAAAATGACATTTTTCTGTTTATATGCTTTCCCTCATTGTAAACTCCTGTAAATTGTGAAGTTTTCTTATCGTGATTACAATTCAAAGTTCAATATAGAAATTTCTCAGTAAAAGATTTAAATGTTATTTATGTTATATGGTAGATTTATGTTTATTAGAGTAGGCCTAACTGGCCAACATATGAGGAAATATAGGAAATGAAATACAAAATAAAATAAGAACATCTCCAAAACTTATTTTGTTTATTCTTATTTAGCAATTTGACTAATAATTGTTCCAGTTATACTATATACTTCGATGTGATTGATCCATAAAAAATTCAGGTGACAAACCTAAAACATAACTGAGATAATTTTATACAACTTGTTGTATATTTTTTGTCTAACCTTTAAACAATACATTTTTAAACGTGAAAGTTTTGCTACTAATATTTGTGCATTGTTTTTCAGGGAAAGGAAAAGGAACTCCTCTGCTGAAAAATGGAATACATGTTATCCATGGACCTGTTGAATATGATAGTGACGCTTCTTCTGACTTCCCAGATAATAATTAGCCTTATTTTTTGCTTATAGTTTCAACATCATGCTAAATTTAGTATGTCAATAACTAATCATGTTGTTGATATTTGTTAAGCTAGAGCAATAATTGTTTGAATAGGCTATGATGATTCATCCATAACTATGAAGTATTATTAGTTAGGCTATCAGTATTGTTTTCCATATACTTTTTGTTAATCCTTTTTTTTTTGCCTCGCAACTCTGTTTCAATAGACTTCCCACGCAAGGATTTAGTCCGGAAAACGGCTATTGCCACCTGCTTAACCCATTGACGACGACCACTTGTGTAGCCCGCCACCTCATTTTGCTGCAAGTTAGTTGTATTACTTATCCCACTGTCCCTCAAGTAGTACGTTGAATAAACCCTATGAACGCTAATGTCGATGTGTGCATGTATTGGCAATCGAAATGTTCGGCATGTTACTTATTCAAAGATCTAGATCGACACCATAAAGACTGAAAAGTGATTTACCTATCTCAGTGAGGCTAAAATAATAAAGAAAAACTGTCTATTTAAAATCAATTTTCATAAACTGGTTCGACTGTCTTTTGTTTACAATTTGACTGTAGTTAAACATTCTACTCAAGGATCAGCTGTTACACAATTCATATTTTAACTGTTATAGAGAAAGTTGGTCAGCAGCAACAGAGCTTTGAAAGAGAGCTCTGGAATAATTAGTTCTGGAGCAAGGGGGGGCCCTTTAATCAGCCCTTAACACGTTCGCTGCTGAAAACCTTTACACAAGCGCTTGAAAACTGCGACGAGGCCCGGGCGCAGCCTCGGCGCCTTCTGAATCAGCGATCACAATTGGCATTCAAATATCTCTATAAGACCAATCACAAAAGAGCAGTGGTGATTGTTCCGTGTTACCCCGAAAGTGGACATAGTTCACTGAAACACCCAAAGGTAGCAGCACTGCCTGGATCAATAACCAGTGTCTTTGTAATATGGCTTGAATAGAGAATATCCCCGATACCGGGACAAAAGCATGGGCAGACGTGATTTTACAAAAATCTTTAGTACCAACTTACACCAAAATAAAGATCGTATTCTAAGTTACAGCCTGGCAACAACAACAGCGTCCCCGGCCGAGTGCTGGGCTCAGACAGACGCAATATTTGGCAGGGGAGCACACTACTGCTATAGCAGTAGGCCGCGTGCAGTGCTAGTGCCACGCTACTGCTATAGCAGTAGGCCGCATCGAATGTGTTAAGGAAATAACTTTTTTCGTTATTATTTGCAGGTGTACTAGATCATAAGCTTTTAAATGACATTAATTGTGTGTAATTGTGTTAATTGTGTGTGTTAAGTAGGACAGCTGAAAAAGGGGCGTTAAGGGGAAAACCTTTATCTTATTAAGTATAGATTACATACCACAGATATTCTACTATAAACATAGACATAAATAATCACTAATTTTGACCGTTTTTCTATTGTTAGGGTAGTAATAGCAAAAAATGTTGCATATCACTCGTCCAAAATGTGTTTACCGGACTAATACATTAATGTAAACACTTAATTTCCGGACTAGTAACGTAATATACATTTATGTTAAACATAGTAAGTATTATGCAGTGAGTATCATTATGATACTAGATGTATTGTTAAATGCTCACATAGCCCAAGTACCATTGTTTGTTAACCCAATACAGTACAAAGAATTATATTGCTTTTTCAAACAAACAAACACACAGACTTTCACATTTATAATATTAGTAATAGCATAGACAAATAGAATAAATATAGACTGTCAAAGGAAGGTTCCAGCGCGCACCGCTAGGAGTCTCGTGTAGTTACAGCGCACACCGCTTCAGGCGAGGGCCGAGCGCAAGAGCCGTATGTGACCAGCAGACCCTGCAGCGGTGTGCGCTGTAACTACACGGCAAACCTAGCGGTGAACGCCAGAACTTAGGCTAACCGCAGCACAGCTGACGGTCTATGTTCATTCTATTTGTCTATGGTAATAGATAGATAGTTGAGCATTAATTTACCAAAAATATATGTTCATTGAAAACAGAACTTCATGATTTAACTTTATTAAATTCATTAACTTTTGTGTACCTAAATAATGTTCAGTATAACTACAATTAATTTTACTCTTAGCCATATTCCTACATGAATACACATCATTATGTACCTCTCTCAATGTAATATTAATTATATTCTATATTCAATAACGATTGCTTGTACTACATAGTTAGGCTAACAAGATTTGAATGTGTATGGCACGTTCCGCTCAATTATTGTAGTAAAATTGGTAATAATCAAGTAAAGCACAATAATTGATCCCTTCTACTCACAAATCATTCATAATCGTTTCAAGGACTGAGAAACCAAACTGACAATCACAATCGAGAAGGCACAAGACTTTTCTCACTACATGTACCGAATTCCAGTGCTGCACAGGTATAGGCTGACGACTTGTTTATTGCAGCATTGGATTGAAACTACTATATGTCGAATTATAGAGTGTGAAATGTAATAAGAATAATCGTTTGTTTTAGGTAGATGCTGAGGTTGAATGCCTCTCAATAAAACCCTTGTCAAGAGGTGGTTCTCAAAATAAACGTCCTGTGAAAAGAATACTTCTTTTATTGGTAAGAACAAGCACCTTGCCTCACAAGAAATACCTATATTATAATTGAGTGTTTACTTTTTTACTTATGTTGGTCGTTTCTAACTACTTTAAAGTTTGTTTATAACTCAGCAATTATTTTTATTGAGAAAAGTTCTATAGTTGTGTTTTACGTATACAGGGTTCATTCAATATGTATCGGGACTGGTTCACTGTAGCCTCAACAGAGTGGTGGAGGGGAGTCCGACAGGTTGGGCTCGATAGAAGGATTACCACTATTCAGGAGCATTTTGGTTCAGTTGCCTGCGGGCATTCGTTGAGTCGTTATATTGGTTTTTGCGCTGAGTGTTTTTTCATTGAGTTATTATGCCAACATGCAACGTACCGGAACCGTCGAGCAACGCTACACTGTAAAATTTTGCTTTAAACTCTCAAAATCTGTGTCGGAGACCCTTGGACTAATTAAACAGGCTTATGGAGATGATGCCTTAAGCCGCATAAGGAGTTATTGAGTGGCACAAAATGTTTAAGGAAGGGATTCTTCAAAGTCGAGCACCGCATCAGACGCCCGACCACCCCGCTCGAACCTGGCTCAGATGTGGGGGAAGTGAAAGAAGTTTTAGACTCTGAACTTGAACGTTTTTTTTTCCGGATAATACTGGAACACCCAAGTTTTACCGCCCGACCACCGCTCGAACCGAGGCTCAGGTAGGGAAAGTGAAAGAAGTTTTGGACTCTGAACTTGAACGTTTTGTTTCCGGATAATACTGGAACACCCAAGTTTTATCGCCGGTAATGACGTCCAGAAAATTTGGATCTTCCTGTATGCAGTCCAAGATTTCTTGTCAGACATCTGAAGAGGTGCTGGTCTTCAAAGAGTTCCCGGCCTTCCTTAAACTTTTGTGCCACTCAAAAACAAACTCTTGTGCAGCTTAAGGCATCATCCCCATAAGATTAATGAGGGCTCACTTTTCCAATTTTAAAGCAAAACTTTACAGCGTAGCATTGCTCGACAGGTATGCTCCATGTTAATGCGACAAAACCATGAGAAAACATTCAGCTTGAAAATCAACCAAATGTCTCAACGAATGCCTGCAGAAAAACTGAACCAAATTGCTTCTGAATGGTGGGGGACTCCTCTATCGAGTCTGGCCGGTAGGACACCTCTTCACCTCTCTGTTGAGGTTACAGTGAACCAGTACCCATATTTATTGAATGGAGGGTGTATTTTATTTTATCAATTATCAGTCATTGAGACGCCACCTAGGCGCATTTTAACCCGAATATTAGTGAAGGATGAGTGTAGAATGGTGTGTGATGACCTGTGTAGCTTTGTTACTGATTAAGATCAGCAGCTTCATTAGTCAGGATAATTTATTTAAAGCCCAATGATCAGGAACAGCTGGGTCCAGTTTAGAACCATCAAAAAGCTATTGAATTTTCTCAGGATCCAACCGGCGACCTTTTGATTACTAGGCGAGCACTATAACTATCTTAAGACTAGTTTGTTTCTGATGGGTGATGATATCTGTTGTTGCATTAGGAAGTATTAATTTTTTTACCATGCTATATTTCATTAGGCTTCTTACTGACAGCTAATGTATTATTGAATAAATCCATGAATAACAACTGTTAGGTACCTCAGATCACAATTATACATGAAATTCAAGGCCATTCAGAGTGGTACAGTAACTGGCAAATATAGACTACCTCTTATCGGGACTTGGAAACGTTAAGCTATGAATACTGAGTGTTTGGAATTGTGATGTTTGTATTTTATAGTTAGCAACCTACTTTTTCAGAATTAAAAGTACTTTGAAACTAAATTACTTAGAACTATGGAATAATTATTAAAAATTCAATTTTTGTAGTCATGTTATGAATTTGAGGTCGTAATAATTTGACGTTATAATTTGATAGTAGTCATTTTCAGTGCTCGATTTCTAAAAAGTGAGGTGCGACAACTGTAACCTATTTAATGTGATTTGTACCTATTTATACCAATATTACCCGCTGTTTTGCTGTGACCGCGGGAGACAATAACGATGCCAACACTGTCAGGGGAAATGAACAGAATTGTGCCGCGATTGTGGAAGACGATGATGATGTTTCCATTACCATGGGGATATTCAGAATTTTGCCCTCACCACGGGAAACAATGACAATGTTTACACAACCACGGAAAATTATCAAAATGTGGCAGCCATCGTGGACGACGATAATGGACGGATAAGGTATACAGGACAGTGGGAGTTGTTTATGATTTTGTCGTGAAGACGATGATGATGTACCATTACCGCGGGGGTTATTCAGGGTTTTGCTGTGACCGCGGCAGACAATGACGATGTGGGGGGGCAACCTGGTACCGTGTGATTTTCAGTTTCTAGGTTATTGCGGAACATTCATAATTATACTTTAAATGATAATTGAAACATTTCATGTATTAATTAACAAAAAATCACAAATTGCTTGTTAACTTTACTTAACTTCAACAGAAACATTAGTAAAATCCTAATTATTGTTTTCCAACCGAAAAAATGTTATATCCAGACTTAAAACTAACCAACTTTGGATAACCAGAGTGCTCGTATAGTAGAAAGTATACCGCATATCACTTTACTAGGATCAAAATATTCCTTTGGCATTTGCAAATCTAAAGCCTATAGGCCTACTATATTATATTTAAATACTATCATTTTGAAATCTGTAATTTGGACACATTTTGTTGCTACATTTTTTTTTCAACATATCATAATCCTAACTTGTACTCCGCCATACACAATTCTTATACCTCCAGTTCACTCCCAAGTTCCAAAAAGCACAGGTAATCTACCTTATTTTTTTTTTATTTGAACATTTCTTTTTATAAACTATCATCCTTACACCTTGTTCAGATATGCATATGCATGTTATGGATATTCTTGTACATGGAAAAACTTACCCGTTGTTTCTTGCGTTCCAGGTGACTTTTGAATGAGGCAACTGCAGTTTTCCTAATGGATGCGGCAGGAAAAAGCTTCAAAATGGGAGAAGGTGATTGGTTCTGCTTGGATCCGCAATGTGGCAACATTAACTTTGCTCGGCGGACAAAGTGCAACAGATGTGGGAAGGAGAAAGCTGATACGGCACAGCAGAAGAAAAAGCTAGGTCAAGCGATTGGCAAAGCAGCTGCTGAAAAAAGTAAAGGATTGTTCAGTGCCGATGACTGGTCATGCAACAAATGTGGTAATGTCAACTGGGCACGTCGGCAGCAGTGTAACATGTGCAACGCTCCCAAGTGGGGAGAGGTGGAGGAACGAACGGGTTATGGAGGGGGATACAACGACCGAGGAGTGGTAGAGTACAAAGAGAGAGCTGACTCTGATGATGATGATTATGATGAGTTTGGACGCAGGAAAAAGAAAAAGTCTAAGACTGATGAAGAATCAAACCACGAAGATAGAGATAAAACTGTAGAAGATAACAAAGAGGAAGAAGAAGAGGAGGAGGAAGAGGAAGAGGATGATGATGGAGATCTCTCTAAGTACGACCTAAGTGACTGGGGAGATGTGTCAAATGACAAACAAAAAGATAAGGATAGGAATGAGAGAACTAAGAACCACAGTGAAGACAAAAGAGAGCGTTCGAGATCCAGGTCTCCGGCAGACAACCGACGATAAAAGACTGACACAAGAGTGTGTTGAACTTTAAATAAAAAAACTATTGTGAAGTGTACAGTCTGCTGTCTAGTATCAATGTTGTTTTTATTTAGTAGTGGTATCTTAGTGAAAAATAACTTGTTTTCTTTTAAGTTTTGATAACGTGCGTGTGATTAGAACGTCTAAGTATCCTGATAGTTTACTGGTATGATTGAAATAGATATACACAACTAAGAGCTGTCACAGTTGTAATTTATGTCCATGATCCCTTGAACTTTAACTCACATTCCCATCTTTAACAACACTAATTTTTTTTATACAATGCTTATCTGTAAATTAAGGTCTTCATCGAGCTCTCTTTGCATTTGTATTTGGGGGGCTCTGGCTGCCTGGTCTTTGTACAATATTTTCCTGCCAGGCCTATACCACTGTGATATTGATCAATCAATTTCTACATCATAGGTCTCCAACTCACAGCCCACAAGCAGATTTTTTCCAGCCCGTAGAAAGCCAGCATAGGCTAATGAAAAATTCTTTTACATAGCAAATGCCGATGATCTTCTCCTGCCATCACATAAAACCTTGTGTTCTGGTAGTCTCCGTGATACCATGATCGTTTCCCGTAATCGCAAAACAAGGGATAACATTCTTTATACCTTGCTATCTCGGAAAAACCGTGACCGTCTCTTGTGATGTGGCAACACTTGTGACCATATCACTCGGTCTCGGCGATACCGTGACCATCTTTTGCGATCTTGGCAACATTCATGAGATTATATTGTAGTTTCGGCGATACCATGATCTGGACAACACTCATGACCATATCACGATTTGGCCTTGGCAATACCGTGATCGTCTTCCGCAATCATAGTAATGCTCATCAAAGTTGGAGTTTGGCTGATATTTCATTGAAACCTAATGATGCTTTAGGCTTCATTGGGTTCATTGCCTCTTTGGCTTCTTTCTGCAGTAGGCCCACTGGTTAAAATTTACAAGTAGTATTTTAGAGGATATACTTTTTAAACTGAGGTGTGATTATTGCTAGTTGAAAATTTTGGAGGGTATACTTTTATATAAGTAATAAATAAGCTATTAGCAATCAAATGATTAAAGTGGTTTGCTATCTTGATAGAATCTTGTGTGGTTTTGACATTGTTCTGGAGGTGGCAGTGATCCAAGTTAAATTCAGTGAATTCAGGATGAAAAACATGACATTGGTCCCCGATTTGAACTAGTAATTGGAGCTTTATGGAGACCTAAACTTTCGAACATCCCATACAGGGTGAACAAAAAGTCAAGACCCCCCCCCCTCTAATATTTTTCTAAGTAAATATACGGAGATATCTTTTTGGTGGTCTTGCAATCTTAGCTGGAAATTTCATTTTATGATTTTGAAATTTTTGAGTGTCCCCCCTAAAAGGGGGTATTTTGGGGGCAACTAAAAAATTTAAAATGTAGACCCTTTTCAAGTGACACCTCATTTTGAAGTGTTAAAAAACTTAAAGAATGGTGAAAACCGTTCGCTATCTTTTCTCTATCCAAAATGGTAGCCCGTCAAAAGTTTAATGACGTTACTGTTACATTATTTTGGATACTCTGTCCAAAATGGTAGCCAATATTACAATTACGAACCAATATAACCATTGATTTTCCATAACATTTGACGTGCTACCATTTTGGATAGAGATGAAATAGCTAACTCTGGTTTTCAACATTCTTGAATTTTTTTTTAACACTTTAAAATGAGGTGTCACTTGAAGGGGGTTTACATTGAAAACTTTTGAGCTGCCCCCAAAATTCCCCCTTTTTGGGAGACATTTAAAAATCATAAAATGAAACTTCCTGCTAAGATTGCACGACCGCATAAAGGATATCTCTGTATATTTACTTAGAAAAATATTAGAGAGGGGGGTCTTGACTTTTTATTCACCCTGTATAATATTGTAGCATTATAAGACATCTGCTGTTTATTATATTATGAATCTCCAATACAGAAATCACATAAAGTCTCACACTTTTAGCTATTCATCAGTGCCCAAAACAAACATTAGGTTTGTTCTTGAAAACCCTTCCTAGACCACAGCTTTAACATCTGACCGTAATTTAAATCTTGGATAGTTTGTATGTCTTGAAATGAAATATTGAAATGCAATAAGTCACAGACTGTTTTAAACATCTATATTATTTATAACTTTGTAAAACTGCAATAATTTTAAATTTTAAACCACCTACAGTACTTAAAAACTTGTATGAGTTTTAAAAAATGGAGAAAACTACATCTACAAATCAGGAATAAACTTTGTATGTAGCGGATATAAAAAAAATTAACTCTTGAGTTGTCATCAAATCTTAATAATTGTATTGTTTAAAATAAAAAAGTGTGCTTTAGGTTGTTAATATAAATACCCCCTCCGCAGCAAACCTGCAGACTAAGCGAATTTCAACTTGTCTGATTACATATTTACTCAATAAGGCATATTTATTCCCAATTTAAAAAGCAGTACCTGGAGACCGAGCTTTGCTCGGGGAAAATCATTAGTTTACTCTGAAAGCAGTCTTAGTATTGCAGATACAAAAATCTATTCCCAAACTCCACACTGCTCGCCTTTACTAGACCAATTTCCTTCCCTTCCCATCGCATTTTAGGATTCCAGATACCTTAATCTAATCGTTATAAACAGTTCCCACACTCTGGACAGCTCGCCTTGACTACTTCCTTCACCGATTCCTACGTCGCGGACTTGTTTCCCTCCCTTCCCATAGCATTTTAGGATTGCAAATACCTTAATCTAATTTTTCTAATCGACATAAACAGTTCCCACACTCCGGACAGCTCGCCTTGACTACTTCCATCACCACTTCCTACATCGCGGACCTGTTTCCCTCCCTTCCCATAGCATTTTATGATTGGAAATACCTTAGTCTAATTGTCATAAACAGTTCCCACACTCCGCACAGCTCGCCTTTACTACTTCCTTCACCACTTCCTACGTCGCGGACCTGTTTCCCTCCCTTCCCATAGCATTTTAGGATTGGAATTACCTCAGTCTAATCAACATAAAAAAATCCCACACTCCGCACAGCTCGCCTTGACTACTTCCTTCACCACTTCCTACGTCACGGACCTGTTTTCCTCCCTTCCCATAGCATTTTAGGATTGGAAATACCTCAATCTAATCGTCATAAACAGTTCCCACACTCCGCACAGCTCTCCTTGACTACTTCCTTCACCACTTCCTTATGTCATGGACCTGTTTTCCTCCCTTCCCATAGCATTTTAGGATTGGAAATACCTCAATCTATCGTCATAAACAGTTCCCACATTCTGCACAGCTCGCCTTGACTACTTCCTTCACCACTTCCTACGTTGCGGACCTGTTTTCCTCCCTTCCCATAGATATTTAGGATCGCAGATACCTTAATCAAATTGTCATAAACAGTTCCCACACTCCTGACTACTCGCCTTTACTACTTCCTTCATCACTTCCTACGTCACGGACCTGTTTCCCTCCCTTCCCCAAAGCATTTTAGGATTGCCATACCCTTATCTAATCGTCATAATCATTTCCCACACTCCGGACAGCTCTCCTTGACTACTTCCTTCACCACTTCCTACGTCGCAGACCTGTTTTCCTTCCTTCCCATAGCATTTTAGGATTGCAAATACCTTAATCTTATCGTCATAAACAGTTCCCACACTCCTGACTACTCGCCTTGACTACTTCCTTCACCACTTCCTACGTCGCGGACCTGTTTTCCTCCCTTCCCATAGTATTTTAGTATTGCAGATACCCTAATCTTATTGTCATAAACAGTTCCCACACTCCGGACTGCTCGCCTTTACTACTTCCTTCATCTCGTGCTCAGTCAAGGACCTGTTTCCCTCCCTTCCCATAGCATTTTATGATTGCAAATACCTTAATCTAATCGTCATAAACATATCCCACACTCCGGACAGCTAATGAAATTACATTAACATGGTTTGATAGCTCCATTTAAGTAGTGTTAGGCTAAATAATATTCGGGCTAGTGACACCATATTTTAAATTTATAATCCTTTACCCTCTCTGTTCTAATATTTGTGCAGTATTTAATAAAAATTCATTTGACAGTTGGTTCTGCTTGTTTACATTTTTAAACATTGTTTCTTTGTTACCATGGATACCATCAATCAATATTTACTTTGAAATCTCTCACTTCAAATTTTTGAAAGCCCACGGGGCAGAGCCCTAGGACAATATCGAAGCGGGAATAGTTCTATATGTATCCTCGGAGCTGTAGCTTCATTTGTGTGCAATTTGAGCCCAGTTGGTTCAGTGGTTTTTGAGATTATCTCATACAAACACACACACACACAGACACCACCTCTTCTTTATAATAGTATAGATATAGATTTTGTTTAAATATCAAAATAAAAGAATAAAACAACTTTGAACAATACATACAGCTGATTCAAATCATTAAATTAAACCATAACAAAACACTAGCGCGCATAGTGAATAAATAGATAACTAATTGAGAGCAAGGGAAAGTAAATTTAGAGCGAGGGAAAATCAACTGATCGATTTTCCCTCGCCCTAAATTAGAGCTTGGGAAACGACTACTTTCATTGATGTCAGCTGTTATCGAAAATAGTTACTTTCGTTGCGGAGTGATGAAAATACTATTCCTCAACCTTACTGTTTCTTGTTTTAAAATAAAACTAAATCTTTAGATGAAGAATTCCATTTAATTAACTACAAGTTAGTTTGTTTACTAGTAAGTTTGTTTACAAAAACAATATAATAATAGTTAACAACCATATGTCTTTATAGTCATATGTCATCTCCCTTCTTCACTTATAAGTCAAGTCTTTTGGGAGGATTTACTCTTCGTGATGACTTTCTACTATCTACATCTTTAACTCAATTTCCAGCTTTACTTCCGTTCACTTTACTTGCTCCTGCCGGTTCCTCAACGTCACAAAAATGTTTCTTCAAAAACCAAGAGTTCCTTCGATAAATATTCCCATCTGGAGTTTCTGGTATGATCTTGGCTCTGGACCTTTTCTTACGACTGTAGCTGGCTGCCAGTCTCTATGTTCTTTTCTATACAGTACTTTTTCTCCTTCTTCAAATTCTAAGTTGTTCTTTTTTGTTCTGTTACTGTATTGTCTGGATTTTCCCCGAATATTTTGCAATTCATTGTGAACATTTTTAATTATTTTAGGTTGCAGAATTTTATCTGTGCTAGGGAGCAGTGTCCTTGTTCTGCGCC